TCCCACTCGGGTCCATTCCTAAGGCGTGAAAGAGGTGAGCTTCAGCCGAAGATTCACCCCCCCACCCCATGTTTGCAATGGCGTGAAAAATAATGCCTACCTTACAGGGGTGTTCTCCAGATTGCAAGAGGATATAAAAGAATGTATCTTAAAAAAAAAACTTTTAAGGGCTCTTGACCACTGTTCCAGTTTGCCCAACTGGCTTGCACTGGGTTCCTGTCCCGTTTTAATCAGTGCGCTGTTTCCATAATGAAACCAGGGCAGTGCATTTATTGCTAGAGGGGTAAATTCTGTTCACTGGCTTGTGTGAAAACAAGGATTGGTTTCTAAAATTGTGCCATACTCCAAGACTCAGGAACCCCCCCTAATTTCTGCGCTTAGCAGAGGGGGAATGCACTCTGGACGAGCTCAGAGGTCCTCTTCCCATCAAGGCTTGTGATTTAAAAATTGCAGTGTAAAGATTAAATTTGGGACAAAGCCTTGCAAGAATCCCTCTTTAACATACTGTGGGCATGAGTCCTGACCCCTGTTTGGAGCAGAGAGTCGATCAAGGAACTGGCTAGAGAAACTGGCATATGGTTGAGCTTCCCTTTTCCAATGGAACAAATTTCAGAATTTTAGTGACCTCAGAAGCAGCTCTTTTAACCTCCCACAGACATTTCCAGGGCCTAGACAAGCAAATGCAAGCCTGATTAATAATAAAAGTAATATTTATTACACAGATTTGGCACCTGGCGCTGGACAGCCATTGAGTTTAAGAAATGCCAGCCCTGCCAAGAGATTTACAACCCAACGGTGCCTGATTTTTTTTTTTGTTATAATGCTCCTTTGATTTAACTCTTCATCTCTCCACAATGAGTGAGCATTACTACAATCGCTGGTCGCGTCTTCCAGAGGAAAACAAAAGGAATTTACAGCTTGGAAAAGCCTCCCACCCTAATCTGGTTTAGGAAGATGAACACACTAGTCCATCGGCAACATGGAAAATATTTAAGAGTATTTGGCCTGACTGCAGAGTTGGTAGGAGTAATTCCAAAAACCCTTCCCGCAGCACTTATTGTATAACGAAAGAGGAAAAGCAATGCACGGTGATGGCGCATTAATGCTTGTGCACCCAAATGCCGGCACGCTGGGGTTAAAGTTGCCCCTGCCCACATTGCCCTTCCTTAACCATCCGCTGGGGAAGATGGGAACTAGAATCAGCAATTGCCCCGTTCGATTTATAATACCATGAATTCAGATTTCTGGACTCTAAGAAAAGAGGGTGAATTCCCTCCTGTAGTCTGTGTGTAGGAAGGCTGGAAAGCCTCAGCGTGAAACCACACGGTGGTTATTCTGGATTAATGATGGGGGGCAGGCCAAGAACACGATCTTGCACTAGTGTCGTTGATGCGTGCGGGAAGAGAGGCGCCTTAATAGCTCGAGCATCCTATTCCTGGGCCTGTGGGATGACGTCAGAAAAGAGGGAGATTTCTATTTCCCCCGTTGCAGAAAAGGCGAGGAAGCGGAAGGAACGAGAAAACTCCCTTTGTCAAACTGATCGCCAAGCCAAGGTTTATCCCTTTGTACAACTGATCGGCAATCTGGGTATCTTAAATTGCACGCTTGGCCATTTAACATCTCCCTGTACACCCTTCCAATGGTCAAGCCTGCAATTTAAGATACCCAGATTGACATTCTACCAGCTTCTTACCTAGACCCCAAAGTTGGCTTCACTTCACAACTTAAACCTAGTTTAACAAAACACGAGGGGGCCGGAGCCAGTGAACCTTATTACAATATCAAGCGAAGACAGGCTTGGTACAACATGGCGAGCCACTATTCCAGTCTAGGGTGTGTGAAAACGGTCCCGTGATGTAACCCCTAACTCTACACATTATTAGATTTCTAGTCTGCCTTTTATTCTGGGGGCAGACGGTGCTTCTCCTACATTTTTCTCCACAACTGCAACCCTGTGAGGTGGGTTGGGCTGAGAGAGTGACAGAAAGGGCCTAGAACCTGGGTCTCCCCACTCCTAGTCCAGCCCCTTCTCCACTGAACCACCCTGGTTCTTGGGTTGAGCGGAGGGGATTGGCCCCAAGTCCCCATGAGAGCTTCTGTAGCTGAAGGGGGGTTAGAACCTGGGTCTCCGTAGTACTAGTCCAACACCTTAACCTCTACACCACCGTGGCTTCTCTGCTGGTTCCTGCCCTTGCTTTGTCCAAATACTGCCCTAGTAGACCATGACATTCCCCCCATCCCATTGCATCTCCCACTTACCCGGTCCTGTCTGAACTTCTTCCACGCTTTCTTCTCCCACCAGTTCAGCTGTAGGACCCAAGGAAAGATCCATATCAAACTAGAGATGCTCTAAGGTTAGGACCCTCCATTCCTGGTTTCATAAGTCCTGTAGAGCAGGGTTCCTCAACCTTACGAAAATTATATATCAAGATGGATCAGGAGGTTGCTGTCTTGGATTAGTTTTGGCCCCTCTCCTTTTTC